TAGCATCTGCTCAGAGGTTAGGAATGTTAAAGAAAAGCATAGATGAGGCAGCCCAGTGTACCTGATCAATAAAAAGTATCCCATGGATGTTACCACCTTGCGGGGAGGGGCTGAGCCCCTCTTTACAGGTAACTTTAAATAAACTATTTACTTTGTAATGCCACCTACTCTAAACTTCTCTATCTTTTCTCAAATAAATTCTGGCTCCCAGTTCTGTGTTTTATATTATAAGACCAACACTTAATCTTTTGCGGTATGATAGACCAAAAACTAAACCTTATATTCATAGATGTTTCAAACTAAGTAGGAAATGAAAATAATATAAACAGAGTAAGGTTAGTCCCAAAAAGTATATCTAAAATCTGTATCGCACAATTGTTGAGTTGAAGTTTGATAACAAATCATCCTGCAAAAGCTATGCATGGCTCCTCGTTCTAAATGGGAAAAGCATTCTTAAATTAGGGAGCAGGAGTTGGAATAAACCAGTCGCCCTGCATTCCAGAGTCCAGGAGGCATGATGCCAGCTTGTTTGCTAATCATTTTAACCCAAATCCTGAAGTTTACAAATTAGCAGGGTGTCCTTTTTCCTGTTGATGGAGAGAGGTTCTGAAGTTATCAAAATCCAATTGTTTATTGTAGTAAAACAGGATTTAAAATTCTTGGCAACAGTTGTTCTATGGTGTATGTGTCTTATAAAGAAATATTCGCTGTAATTTTTTTGTATAAATTAAATTCCTTTTTTGTTTAACAAACTGTTTCAAAAAGCATTACATTTTAAGTATTAACAGAGTACTTTTCCTCCTAATTTATATTGCACTTAAGGATTTGTGATTTCTTTGTTTTAATTTGTTTGCAGGGGAGACGGTGAGTATTTTTGGGAAAGATTGGTGGGAGAAAACAGCAGTATTGTAAACTAACAAATTGACCAACTCCATTGAGTTGGAAAATAAAATGAAAATGTACATTCTTCATTTAAATCCTTACTCTGAGGTGAGGCTGCAGATGAGGGAATTCAGTATGCAGGCTGATCTGGGGTAGGAATGTAAAGGGATAACCGGTTATCTGGTAAGTATTCGCCTTACCAGCATGCTTACTAGGGAGCTGCCTGCGGCGCGGTGGGCCCAGCCTGTGGCACGAGGCAGTGGGCCAGTTAACATTTTAAGCAGGATTTTATATCCCTACTCCAGGGAAAGATGACTGTCCCAGCCCTCTTTCACCATA